GCATGTCAAAGTCCTAGAGAGACCAAAAGCTAGGCCTCTTGCGCAGTTAGCCAAATATGAATGCAGAGAAAAAGCTCTTGAAGGTGGTGGAAAGCTACTCCAGTGGACACGCAAATAACAGAAAAGCATAACAGCCTTACTGCTGATTGAAGAAAATCTTAGTGTTCTGGATAAAAGATCAAACCAACCAAATTCCCTTAAGCCAAAACCTGATCCAGAGGAAAGCCCTAACTTCATTCTGCTCTAAGAAGGCTAAGAGAAATGAGAAAGCTGCAGAAGAGGTTTGAAGATAGCAAGGTTAGTTTATAAGGTTTAACAAAGACACCATCTCTATATCATAAAAATGTAAGGTGAGGCAGAAAGTGCTCATACAGAAGCTGCAGCAGGTTATCTAGAAGATTTAGCTAACATCACTATTTTAAAAAGCTATACTAAACAACAGATTTTCAATGTACACAAAGCACTTCTTTTGGAAGAAGCTATGTCATCTAGGACTTTCATAGCTAGATAGAAGTCAATGCCTGGCTTCAAAGTTTCAAAGGACAGGCCAACTCCTTATTAGGGCCTAATGCAACAGGTGACTTTAAGTTGAAGTCACTCATTTACTATTCTGAAAAACCTAGGGCCATTAAGAATTATGTCAGCCTACTCAGCCTGTGTGCTATAAATGAAAAAACAAAATGAAGATGACAAGACATCTGTTTACAGCATGGATTACTGAATATTTCAAGTCCACTGTTCAGATATACTGTTAAGAAAAAAATATTCCTTTTACAATATTATTGCTCACTGACAATATAGGGTCACCGAAGAACTCTGTACAAGAAAAATAATGTTTTCACACCTGCGGACACAACATCGATTTTTCAGCCCATAGACCAAGAAGTCCCTGGACTTTCAAGTCGTATTATGTAAGAAATATATTTTGTAAGACTATAGCTGTCATAGATAGTGATTCCTCTGATGGGTCTGGGAAAAGTATGTTGAAAATCTTCTGGAAAGGAGGTTCTACATGCCATTAAGAACATGTTTAATTTATGGAAGGAAGTCAAAATATAAACATTCACAGGAGTATGGGGGAAGTTGATTCAAACCCTCATAGATGACTTTGAGGTGTTCAAGACTGCAGTAGAGAAAGTAATGCAGAGGTACGGGAAATAGCAAGAGAATTAGAATTTCAAGTGGAGCCTGAAAATGTGATTGAATCACTACAATCTCATGAAAAAACTTTAATGGGTGAGAAGTTCTTCCTACAGATGAGCAAAGAAAGTGGTTTCTTAAGATGGAATGTACTCCTGGTGAAGATGCTGTGAGCACTCTATAAATGACAACAAAGGATGTAGAAAGTTCCATAAACTTAGTTAATAAAGCAATAGCAGGTTTCATTCAAGAGAAATGACTCCCCTGAAAACATTTCTACTGTGGGTAAAATGCTATCAGAAAGTATTATGTACTGCAGAGAAATATACTGTGAAATGAACAGCCAATGAATGTGACAAACTTCACTGTTCTCTTAGTTTTTAAAAGTGCCACAGCTCACATATCTACCATGGAATACTATGCAGCCATAAAAAGGGATGAGTTCATGTCCTTTGTAGAGACATGGATGAAGCTGGAAACCATCATTCTCAGTAAACTAACACAAGAACAGAAAAATCAAACACTGCATTTTCTCACTCATAAATGGCAGATGAACACATAGACATAGGAAGGGGAACATCACAGACCAGGGCCTTCTGGAGGGGTGGAGGGCTAAGGAAGGGAGAGCATTAGGAGAAATACCTAATGTAGATGATGAGGTGATGGATGATGGATGCGGCAAGCCACCATGGCACGAGTATAACTATGTAACAAATTTGCACATTCTACACATGTACCCTGGAACTTAAAGTATGTTTTTAAAAAAGTACCACAGCTATTCCAACCTTCCGCAACCACCACTCTGAACAGTCAGCACCCATCAACATTGAGAAAAGACCCTCCATCAGCCAAAAGATTACAACTTGCTGACGGCTCAAATGATTGTTAGCATTTTTTTTAGCAATAGAGTATTTTAAATTAAGATATGTACATTGGTTTTTTAGACATAATGCTATTGCATTGTTAATAGACTGCAATATAGTATAAATCTAACGTCTATATGCAGTGGAAAACCAAAAATTCATGTGACTTGCTTTACTCAGATATTTGTGTTATTAAAGTGGTGTGTAACAAAATCTTCAATATCTTCAAGGTATGCTTATAACTACCTTTTAAGACAAAGATAGTAAAAATAAAACCCTCTTATTTCTATGAAAAGGAACTTTGTTTCAGGCTCCAGGTAAGCACAAATTATAAGGAGGGAACTGAACTTTGACAATTGAACATTTTGAAGCAGGTGTAACTCCACTATGAGAATTGTGGAGCTAGAAGGGATCCAACACTGGGCAAGCTGATCTGATCACATTCTTTCTAAATGGGAAACTAAACTGATCAGCAATTCTCTGAACTGAAGAATGAGAAAAGAAAGCTTTTGACGATCTGCAGATGACTATGGATAATCCTAGCCAGTTTAGAGTTATTTATTCAACTCCATCATTAGGAAAATACTTTTCTAAATGGTCAGATTAGCTTAAATTATCTCAGTTCCTCCTGGAAGTGACCTTCTTGTCGTCAATATCTCAAAGAAGAAGCCCTTTGCCTGTTCAACGATGATGTTGACATTCCAATGTGGGCAAAGAGGAATTTACTACCAAAGGGAAACTGATCTCACTTACTGGATATTAACAATATTTTAGTTTGTACTCAAGGAGCTTTTCTAATTGGGGTTGAAATCTACATCCCGTGGTTCTATAAACTCAAATCTGCTCAAGAACTGAATGTTTTTAAAACTATGTTACCATGATCACAATCAAGCAAAATCAACAAAAAATGATCATCATCATTAGCCATCTATTGTTTGTCTATGCAACAAGGAACAGGCAGTTCTATTATTCATGTTAAGAATGCCCTTCAACAAAGTCATTTAGTCATGAATGATTGGCCTAAACTCATATACACACAGTTTGGATCCCCTATATTGCATTGCTAGAACCTAACTATTGTTCTTGTCCTAGGTACTTGTCATAGGACCTGGACTACCATGCCTCCCAAGTTGTCTTCTTACACTGACAAGTATAATGCTTCACAATCCTACAGAAATTGCTGAAAGTCTGGCTATAAATCTCCTTAAAAGCAGATAAAATGTCATATTTGTGTATTTCTAGCATCTTGAGCATTGCCTGATATTTGGAAAGGCCTCAATAAAAATATATGGAAGGAACTATTAAAATTAGTGTCACAAAATGAGAAGATGATGGACGTTACATGGCTCTAGATGTTATGCCCTGGGAAGAACACAACCCAATTGGGATAGCATATTGACTTAGCATACATGACCTAAGCCTAATTCATGAGAAAACATCAGATGCAAAATGAGAAACAATCTATTAAGAAAAGGACTATATATTTCAAAAATGTCAATTTTATAAATTAGTTTTAAAAGGCTAAGAAAATGCTCAAGATTATAGAGATTAAAGAGAAATGACAACTAAATATAGCACGTGACCCTCATTTAGATTCAGTAATGAAAGGAAACAAATGCTATAAAGGACATTATTGGGTCAAATGACAAAATTGGAATTTTGATGTGAGATCAGATAAAAGTATTGTCAATGAAATATTTACTGAGCTGATAAATATACCATGTTTATGTACAAGAGAACATCTTTATTGTTAATAAATACACCCTGAAATAAATACGGGTTAGAGTTTAGGTAAAAGGCCATAATACATGCATCTTACTCTTATATGCTTCAAAAAATATAATGTAGACTGAGAAAATGCTAAAACACATGGAGGCAAAATGTTAATAATTGATGAATCTTGGTAAAAAATATATGACAGTTTTTACACTGTTTCTGGACTTCTCTCTAGAAGTTTTGTTGCTTTTTGTTTTTGTTTTTGTTTTTTGAGACAGGGTTTCACTCTATCATCCAGGCTGGAGTGCAGAGGCACTACCTCATCTCACTGCAATCTCTGCCTCCTGGGCTCAAGGTGATCTTCCTGCCTCGGCCGCCCGAGTAGCTGGGACTACATGCATGAGCCACTGTGCCCGGCTAATTTGTGTATTTTTAGTAAAGACAGGGTTTCACCATGTTGCCCAGGCTGGGCTCAAACTCCTGGGCTCATGTGACCTGCCCGCCTCCGCCTCCCAAACTGCTGAGATTATAGACATGAGTCACTGCACCTAATTTAAATTCTTTTTTCAAATACAAATTAAAAAAAAATAGCATGCCTCAATGAAATATAATTTTAGTGTGTCAGCAATATCAGATATTTATTAATAACTACTTAAAGATTTACCTTATCTACCATACACATATACTGTTTCACTGGTTTATATGGACAGTGTTCTCATAATAAATAGTTTTCCTGCTTAGCAATGAGGTTTCTGAGAAGTCCTATTCAAGCGTCAGGTAGCAAACAAATGGTTCGTGATTTTCTTGACAGAGTTCTCCAGAAATATCAGGTTTACATTCATGAAACTTACTGGACTGAGTGTGGACATTAGCTAGATTCTAATCTATTGGTCCACCATGTTTTAACAGCAAATTTATAATGGTAAAGTTTATGAAAGTCTTCTTAACTGTATTACCTGTTACTGAATTAGGACTCCATATGCTAATGTGCATTTGTTAGAATAAGAAATTACTGTTCTGTTTGACTCTATTTGAAGTAAATATTAAATTATCTTTTAAAGGTTTATCAAAAACAAAAACAAAAAGCAGAGCACAGACCCTCTTTAAAGTTTTGTTTTGTTTCTGTAAATAAAGGAAAAAATTTATATTGCCGGAGAAATGCTTTGGTAAAGTATTTTTGTGTGTGTCTTCTAATTAAACATTCATTAGTAAGAAGCAAGAAGCCATCAGAGTGGTTAATGTACCAGCAAGTGAGAATGGGGTACTTTGCACTTAGGTTACCTTGTCCTGATTGGAAGGTGAGATCTCCGGATTTCAGCAAAGTGAAAGACAATGACATCTCATTACTTTCTCTGTTCTTCTATCCCTTTCTGAGGTAAAGAAGACTGAGAAACAAGGTGGAAGGAAATAATCAGGTAAGTGCATATTTCATCCTAAGTGATGACTGGACAAATTATACACTATCCTTAATTAAAACAGATAATAGAAGAAAAATGATTTCTTGTTTGATCAAATAAGATGGTACAGAGAAGGAAAACATGAATATTTTGACTCATTCCAAGCTGTTATATCTTTTCAGAACTGCAAGAAACAGACAAAACCCTGTGAGTAAACTGAATTTCCAGAATATTTTATGTGTTCTCGCTAAGAAAAAGCCAAAGGTGGCAGTTAGAAGGGCAGCTCTTGTCAAAGCCTAGTCATTTTCTTCCAAGTTTAGAAGGAAAAAAAGTCATCATCTGGATTTTAAAAATTCAGCATTTTCTACACCATAACTAATTTGGCACTTTTAATAAACGTTATATTTGTTTAGGGAGGTAATTATGGGTGAATGAAGTTCCACGTCTTTAAAGCCTTATTTAATATATTTACACAAAACCAAACTGAGATTCTGGCTTAGTGTTCAACTTGACAGATGATAGGTAAACTTCAGTGAAAGAGCTCAGTAAATATGAGAGTTTCCTAGCTAAAGGAGTGACACTGTCATGGGGAAATAACTTTTCTTTATGTCTTACCTAAAGAAATAATCAACTGATGTTTAGACAGTATATGGGTGAGAACACTAACATCCTATACAAGAACTATTAAGTAAAGTGGCCTCTTTGCACTAAACTTTAACACAGAAGAGATCAAAGATGTGCAAAATTATATTGAAAAAAAAAATGACAGGAAAACAGACAAGAAAGCATATTGACAGAACTATCATAACTAAAGGAAGAATATGAGAATCAATAGAATGTTTGACCAGAAATGTAGCCTGGAGAAAGCTATTAATCACAATGATCAGACAGGGATGAAGTTACTTTCAAAGACAGACATGGACATCTGGTCTATCTTTAGATATATTCCTGAATCCATTAAATATTTGAATATATTGTACTCCTTGTTCTTGTTCCATTCTCGCTAGTAATTTGACAGTTTTACTTTCCGAAGAGCCTTCTGTGATAGGCATCCTCGAAGATGGTCAGCAGTGCCCCCTGCCTCCTATAATTATAGCTGTACGTGATACCGTCTCCTTAAGTGTGGGTTGTACCTAGTGACTTGCTTCTAATGTAGAGAGTATGGTAAAAACGATGGGATGTCACTTTCAAGATTAGGTTCTAAAAAGACTGTAACTTCCAAGTTGCAGGCACACACTTCCTCCCCAGATCTTTTCCCCTGCTTGATCTGATGAAGCAGGCTGCCATGTATTGAGCTGTCCTGTGGAGAGTACCATGTGGCAAGGAACTGATGGTGGCCTCTGGCCAATGGCCAGCAAGCAACCCAGTCCCTCAGTCTAACACCCTTGAGGACAGGAGGCCTGGCAGCAGCCACATTAGTCAGCTTGGAAGTGGAGTCTCCCTCAGTGGAGTCTAGAGATGACTGCAGGCCTGCCAACACCTTCCTGTATCCTGGGGTGCCCAAAGCAGAAGGCCCATTCCTCACACACAGAAACCATGAGGTAATAAATATTATTTTAAGCCATGAAGTTTTGAGGTAATTTGTGGTGCCACTAATAGTCATTCCATGATAGAAAAGATGTGCTGGTCAATGTCACGGGTAAATATTTTAATTCTTGTGAGTTTTACTGTGTTGGTATCTCTGTTTGCTTTCTTCTGAAATACAGAAAAGATTGCTAATCTAACCCCAGATCATGTGAACTCACCAAACCAAATGCTACCTTGTGTTTTCGCCTAGGAGTCTTCCTGCCTTTCAGAGAAACAAGGCTAACTTGTATGTTTCCCAGATAATTTCTTGTTCTTATGATGTAAAATCAAAACAAACATCTGATTTGCTGTTAAAAAGATAAATTATTCTAAATCACAAACTATTAATTTTCTCACTTTTAACAGACTTGTTTTGTCATGAATATACACACACACCTCTCCATAGATAGATAGATAGATAGATAGATAGATAGATAGATAGATAGATCATATATATATAATATACATATATATGTGTGTATATATATATATGTATATATATCTTGTTTAGTAAGTGGAAATAATTTGCTTGTATTACCCTAGGGTGCTTTGATTGTACTAGGAATAAAAACAGGTTTTCCTTAAAGAGTGATGATATTATTTCATGATATTTGGTAGTCTTCTCAGGAATAAAAACGATAATTGGTAATAGTTTAATTCTCAGATCAAAGTTGTTTCAGAATAATAATGACCATATCAAGTCACTAGATGGACTGCGACAGAACTTATCCCAGGCAACTGTATAGCTCCCGAGTGCTGAAGTTGTTACAATTTAATGAACTGACAAAAAGCAAAAGAGGAAAACCACATTCTAGACCCTCTCTTAAAAGCATCTAAAGAGATACTATATTGAATGAAACAGGAAAACATATTAATTGTTCCTGAGAACTTCTGATTCAGTGATGATAATTGGCTGAGACCAAATGTGGTTAAATCTGGTATCTTGCAATTTTTAAAAGTATATTTTATCACGCTGCATATTTTCTAAGGAAACAGAACTCATCCTTTGCAAATTGCTTATAAAATATCAACAAACTGGTCAGAAACAATAATAAATGTAAGACACTAAGTGCTTTCTAAATTGGAATGCAACAACAACAACAAAAGACAAAATGTCCTATTACAAAAAACTGTAATGCTAATAGATACTTTTGCATTTTACAAATTGTCTCTATCTCTAGATACAAAGAATTTCAGGATACATCTGAGCACTATGGACTTGTAATTAATGTCTGCTGAAAGTTCATTTGTTCTCAACATATATTAAATTTCACATGATTGCCAAACTTCTTTAATATAATTTCAAGATAAACACAAAAACTCTGCAACTAAACATATAAAGTATATTATAATACATGTGCATATATTTAGAAAGAAGATAGATGCTGATATATGTATATTTCATGCCCATTGTGAAATTCTGCCGTGGGTCATGGTAACACAGGCCACTATTTCCATTAAAATTAATAGCTTGTGGCTGTGGTTACTGTCAGTATTGCCTTATTTTCCCATCACTAGAGATTGTGACATGAATAAAATTAACTTATGTGACCATGTAGATGATTATATCCTGAATTAAGGTTAGATTTCGAGAAGCATTATGAATGTAAAGAATTCATCTAGACTTAGGCCTAAACCACTTTATAATAAAAATCTTTATTTTCCCACCGTAGGGACTCAATACTATTCTTTTAGGGCTAATTCGCAGTTGCTCTTGGACAATAGCAAATTGTTCAACCCAAAATGCTGATTTTATCTTAAAATCCATGGTCCTCTACCTTGATTTCAACTGGACAGACTTCAGTTCCATTTCTTCTTAGGAAAACCTACTTGCATGGCTATAAGAATATTAACTTCGAAGTCTTGGATAATAAATCTTGCCTATGTTCCCACCAGGTTTTGGTAGCATTGTGGTGTCTGTATAAAGACTTCAAAACTGCATTGCCATCTGTAACAGCTCTAGTTCTTATAAGTTCAGTGCTCAGATAAAAATTCTAAATGTTGCAGCACTAAACAGACACTTGATGACACTATTATCAAATGCTTTATATATTAAGAGATCATGATGTTCCTAAAGCTTAAAATGAACTGTGAGAATAGTATTATTTTGGTAAACAGACACTTTCTTGTGATAATTCGGGACACTATTACAGGAGCATGTTTTTCTTTATTTACCAAGACTAAAGAATAAGTGTAATTTTTACTTTCCCTTCATCAAAATAAGAATGCATTATACTGTTCAAATGACTGCAAAGAATATGTATGCATCTGAGGAAAAAGCTTACAATGAGAGTAAATTATTGTTGCTTTTCTGTTTATGACTCTATTCAATGTAAGTTTGATTACTTGAAAGGACTGGTATCCAACATATTGCCATATGAAACAATTTCATGAAAAATACATGTCTCTTAATGCAAGAGTTGAATTGACAGTTTGTCATAGATAAAATCTGCAGAATCAACAAAGATGCAAAATAAATAAGTCAAAACATGAATTATCTAACATAACACTATGTATTTTTATCATTCACTATTCTAATTTCATGTACATAATCTAACACTGTAAATTTCTTGGTCCCAGTTTTATTACACTCACTTTCTTGGACAAATTCAAATCCACCTTTTTAACTCCCACACACAAAAAAGCTGCATTATGTTCTCTCCATTTCTAAAAAATATTTTGTCATTGATTAAATACGAGGGTAATACAACATGTTACAAAAACATTTTAATTCATAGCCATTTGAACAACCTTGGTTTCTCAATGTTGCCTTGGTTGCTCTCATTACTGTTTTTCTTTGAGGAAGGATGAACTGGGGAGTGACTTCACTCACTTCTCAGAATAATAAAATCAAGATTATGCAAAGAGATTCTACATTTTCAGTATAAGAGATTTTTGTCTGGTTCAGTGATGTCCAAAGTTGTGTCTCTCATCTGGATCTCACATTCCAAAGCTTGCTTCCTATCTCCTGAGGTGATTACTCTACAGCTCTATCTAAATGCCACATTGTCACATCACACCCAATGTTAGTAAGCCAAACTCATCATCACTACACTAACCTGGATCTCTTTCCCAGATTATCAATCTCAAACAGAGCTATTTGGCTTTCACATTTTCTTAGTATTACAATTTGATTTAGCCCTCGTATTTCAAATGCATCTTCTCACTCTATTCCTTATATGACACCAAAAAGATGAATCCTCATTACCTCTTTTCTGAATGAATTACATTTTTTATTTCCTTATTGTCACTTTTTATGAATACCTCTTATGTAATGTGTATATTATTTAGAATTTACTATATTGATTTCAGAATTTAAAAAACCAGAAACGGCCAGTTTTTAACTTTAAAGAAGATTATTTGGGAATCCGTCCAATGCCATACTGGGAAACAATCATATTTATTTCTTTCCTGTTTGGAAA